ACACGGAAAAAAGACAAAAGACAAAAAAATAAAAAAAAGAAAGAAAGAAAAAGAAAAGATGCTCAACATCACTAATCATCAGAGAAGTACAAATAATAACCACAATGAGATATCACCTCATGCCCATTAGGATGGCTACTATCAAAAAAGTAAACAAACAAACAAACAACAACAATGAAAAAATGTTAGTAACAACAGGGTCAGCCACAAAAAAAAAAAAATACAACAAGTGTTGGTGAGGAGTGGAAAAACTGGAACCCTTGAGCATTGTTGGTGGTAATGTAAAACAGTGCAACCTCTCTGGAAAACAGTACGGTGGGTCCTCAAAAAATTAAAATTTAAACTACTATATGATCTAGCAACCCCATTTCTGAGTATTTATTCCAAAGAATGAAAACATTAAAGAGACATTTGGACACTCATTTTCCTAGCAACCCAATAGCCAAGAGGTAGAGCAGAAGCAAACCATGTTCATTGACAAATGAACAGATAAACAAAACATGACAAAATATATTGAAATATTATCCAGCCTTAAAAAGAAAAGACATCTTATCACATGCTACAACACAAATCAACTTTGAGGACATTATGCTAAGTGAAATAAACCAGCCACAAAAAGACAAAAACTATACGATTCTACTTATGTGAGGCATGTAAGGTAGTCAAATTCATAGAACAGAAAGTAGAATGGCAGTTACTGGGGGCTAAAGGGAAGGGAGAAATGTGGCCTTGTTTAGTATTTATAGAGTTTTGCAAAATGAAAAAGTTCTGGAGATATATTTCACAACAATATGAATATACTTACTGCTACTGAACTGCATACTTAAAAATAGTTAAGATGATAAGTTTTATGTAACATATTTTTATCACAATTGTTTAAAATAGATTAAAAAATTAAAAAGTAATTAATGACTATGATGGTAATGGAAAGCAACTTCACTGATTCTCAAAGGCTTATAAAATGGCTTTGAAAACTCACTATGCCCTGCCTCCTTTTACTGTAAATCACTACCCAAGAATAAACATAGTGGTTGAAGGAGATGGCTCTGGGGCCAGAAGGTCTGGGTAGAGCTCCTGGTTTCACCACTTTCCAGCTGTCCAATTACTTGGAAAAGTGAGTCAGCTCCCTAAACCTTAATCCCTCATCCAGAAGAAAAGGAATTATATTACCTACAGCTTATAGTGTTATTGTGAGGATTAAATGATATAATGTATTAAAAAGTACCCACCAGAGGCCTGGCATATTACAGGCATTTAATAACAATTAACTATTGTGATTACCTTATTAACTCCATCTTTGCCTTTAGTCTCATTTGCATAACTGCTCTGTGCTTCCCCCCCCCAAGTAAAACTCCCCCTACATCGCTCTCTCCAAAAAACACTTTAGTCTGCCCAAACAATCCTCTTCCATGGTAAACAAACTCTTCTACATCCTCATCTTCTTCACTAAATATTCCCTCACTTTCTAGCCCTAACAGAAACCTGACTCTCTTGTGAAAATAGAACTTACCCTACAAACCTCTGAAATAAAGGTGGTTCTCTCTGCTAAACCCTGACAACATGAGCACTCTCTTCAATCTCAGATAATATTTCTATGCTCTTATTTAATCCTCTTTTAACAGCTCCTGCTCCTTTGAGGCTCGAGCCATCTAATTATAGTACAATCCCTATCCCACCCCAACTCCTCAGTATCAATTTATAATCCATTCTGTTCCATTCCCCAAACACCACTTCTGTAGTTCAATTCCTGCTATCATCTGGGTGATATCAGTAGCCACAAGATCTACTAAACGACGTTTGGCCCCTCAGTTGCATGAACATTTCAACTCCAAAGACCTTCACCACCACACCAATTCAGCCATCACCTGAAATTTGTTTCTTCTCTGAATTCCTAAATTCAAATATCCCATTCTAACCATACTTTCAATCTCTTTAGCTCTCTTACTCAGGAATTCCTACCAGACCCTGTTCTTTGGCCTCATGGGAACCTCTCATCATTTGATGCTTTTCTTCCTATTGTTCCTACCTATTTTCTTACACCTCCACCCACAGTAGACCTTATGGCTTTTCACTACAACCATTACCAGCATCTTCACCTCCCTTACCTCAACCATGTTTCCCATTCCTCTTGTCTGGCAAAACCCCAATCCTGGACCAACCCAACTTCTCCACGTTTATGTCCAGGCTCTTTGCACATACCTAGAGAACATAAAACTGTGGAATTTGGTTCCACTGTAAATTTGGTTTCCCATTCCTCTTGTCTGGCAAAACCCCAATCCTGGACCAACCCAACTTCTCCACGTTTATGCCCAGGCTCTTTGCACATACCTAGAGAACATAAAACTGTGGAATTTGGTTCCACTGTAAATTTATAGTCTCATATTCCATCTGAGTCTTAACCCTACCCCATACTCCTTCTGTTTCTGAGCCGGCTCTCTCTTCTATCCTCCAGACAGCACTTCACCTGTCACCTTTTCTTTCCTAACAATGAGCAGGAGCTATCAGACAGAAAGTCCATCAGTTTTCTGCCATCACAGCTCCAGGAGTGCCAGTCCGCACACACTGCTTTCCTTCTTCCTTTTTATCACACCAGGAGATTGTCCTTATCAGTTCTCCCTCCACTTTGCTCTGAGTTCATCCACACTCCCCTCGGCCCATCAATTATCACCCTTCCTTCTGTACCTTCAACTTCTTACTTTCTACTGGTTGCTTCCCATTACACTAAAATTGATTTAAGTCTCAGAAAGAACAAAACAAACACAAACGATACTATGCTTCTTCATCCCCTCCAGCCACCACCTCCTTTCTCCCTTCCCTTTAGAACCAAACTTCTAAGAACTGCCCACACTCACAGGCTCTCCTCTTAACCTCCTATTCCCTCCTCAACCCATTACTACCTGCAAAAACTACTCTTGCCAAGTCGTAACAATTCCCTTACTTCAAAACCCAGTGGATTAGGTAGAGTCACATTTGCTGACACTTCACAATATCAACTGCTCCTTCCTTCTTGAAAAGCACTTCCTTCCCTTGACTTTAATAACACTACACTCAATGAATTTTCCTCCTGCCTCTTTGGCTGTGGGGATCCCAGAGGAGTTTTGGTTTTTGGCTTTTTTTGGGGGGGGGGATGCCTCAATTCCCTGTATTATGTTCGAAATTTTGTTTATATGTATATGTCTGGAGAGGAATTTCACAGATTTATCAGGAATTACTTAGTACAAAAGAGATTAATAACCACTGCTCTATACTCTCCAGACACCAGAAGAAATTCATGAGAATATGATATACTGGCAACCAAGTGAAAAAGGTGTTTCAAAGAGAAGAGAATGATCGACAATGTCAAATGATGCTAATAGGTCAAGTTAATCAACTGAAAATTGATCACTGAAGATCACTGATGAATTTGATAAGGGTAGTGATCTGTGGAGGGGATAGTGACAAAAGCCTAAGTGGAAATAGCTCAAGAGAGAAGAAATGAGAAAAATTAAAGCAGCAAATAGAAGCAACTCTTGTGGAACAGTCTGCATGAAAAGGAGGCAGAGAAAAGGAGGGAAATAGGGTCAAGTGAGTTGTTTTTGTCTTAAGATGACAGATGATAGCTTGTTGTATGCTGATGGGAAGGATCAGCACGTTTCTTCCTTCCTTCCAGTACAAACTTATTGAGTTACTTCTCTGAGCCAAACACTAAGAACACAGAGCTGGATAAGGCTCTCACAGACAGTGGTGGGATGCAAAGTTAATACATTCACAATTGGATAAACACTCCAGATGAGGTATACACAGGATGACATGGGTGAAAAAAAAGAGGAGCACCTTGGGAAAAGGGCCAAGTAAGAATTTTCAGAAGGGATTCATGTTCGACCTGTTAAGTAGGAGCTCACCACAGAGATACTCCAGGGACAGAGAACAGCGAGGCAAAGGAAGAGAGATCTGACAACATGTTTCCATTTGAGAAACTGCAAACAGTCTGTATGGCTGGACTGAAGCACACCTGTGGAGGCCCAGTGGGAAGGAGCCAGGTGAGGAATGATTCTATATGTCAAGTCAAGTAACTTAGACATTTTTCTGATGGTGGCTATGAGGAGCTCTCCAAGATTTTCGGCAAATGAATACATGGATATTTGCCTTTTAAAAATATTTCTTTGGTAGCAACAGTTAAGATGGATTGAAGAGTAGCCAGACTAGAAATAGGGTGTCCAAACAAAGCTATGGTAGTGACTATGGTAATGACAGAGGGAAATACAGAAAACAAGGCAGCTTGGTGACAGATTTAGATAACTCATCACTGGATGTGTGTCTGTGTGTGTGCACGTGCACGCACGCTAGGGGCAAGCAGATGGGAAGACACAGTAAACAAGAGGAAGAAGCCAAGGAAGAACTCTCAGATTGTTTTAGATGAAAAGATACAGAATAAAACCCCAAGTTAAGACAGAGACTACACGAGGAAGATACCATAGGAAAGCACAGAGGGATCTACTAGCCAACCCAGCCTGTAGTTAAGGAGAGAGGTCAGCAAAGAAGAGCTAAGCATTCTCAGCATTTCTGTACTTGGCTGAATCTGGATATGAGGACAGGGAAGAGATGGCCCAGGGCAAGTGAGACAAAAAAAAGTTTGAGGTCACAACTCTGGGAAAAGTGATTTTTTAAGCAAGAGAACCATAAAAAGCAAAATCAGGTTGACCTTCCTCAAAGAATACTGGTTAAATATACTGTTCTACTTTCTATTAGTCCCCATTGTAAATATAATTCTATTAGCTTAAAGATATATCCTAACAGTACTTTTTACACAGTAGGCATATAAATGAAATAGAACATAAATTACATTTACAAGTAGGGATTTTGCTGAAGGCTGATTAATGAAATTTGAGAGGAGTCAAGAGAAATCTGGGAGGTATGTGGTGACTGAAAGGATTACATATAATCTAGAAGTATAGAATCTGGGGAGAGCTAGATAGTCATCGATGAGAAAAATGAATTCTGAGAAACATTTTAGAACCAGCATTTAAGTAGAATGTTAATAATAATCTGAAATCGAATGATGAAAATAATTTTCTTTTTAATTTGATTTTAAGGTCAATCTGTGAATGTGGTGAAAAGTTCCATTGAAATGGGAAAATATCACAAGAAAAGCAAATTGGTATGTACATTTAAGGAGTTTATATATAGGAAGTGATATAGTTAATTGGAACAGGAAAGTGTATAAAGAATAATTTTATAATACAGAATTACAAATTCAATTCCAACACTTCTTTGGTACCAAGTTCAAATTTATATTTCTTATTTATATTACCTCTTTGGTTTTTAGTTGTTTGCTTCTTGAGTTTTCACCTTCTGCACTCCATAAATTGCCCTTGTCAAATCGGCCACGAAGACATGCTAGTTCTTTTTCACGTTCCTAAACCCATCAAAAGCTGAATTTTACACAAGAGCCTGTAGCATGTTTAAGAATAATGTACAAACACTACTAAAACATTCCTTGTTTTCAGTTTTACAGTTAAAAGTTCACAATACACATGAAATACATGACAATATTTCCAACTGGAAACTGGTATCAAAATTTACATTTTGATTTCTAGGTTCTATGCTGAGAACATGTGATGAATAATGTTAAATGCAATAAGCCATACCTGCTTCAGCTGCTGTGCTAAATGGGTAGTAGATGAAGATGTATTTTGCTTGAATAATCTTTCTTGGATAGCCTTTGTATTTGGAGTGATAACAGGGGTCCTATGTGGTGTGCTACGGGCTGGACTTTCTTTACTGTGCTCTTGACAACGCTCTCCAAAACGTTCCAGAAAAGGTTTAATTCCTGCACCTCGGATGAAAACACACACATTTCCAGAGGCTATTCAAAATAAGGAGTAATTATGATTTTTATGCAAAAAGTTCTAACTTCCATCACAGCTCCAAAATGCTTTGACTCTACTAGGAATATTCATTCTCAAAGTAAAAAGTATAAAAATAGTTCAAAATAAAAAAAAAAAATTTACCATATTTTTCTATTTAATTACATGTGCTAAAACTTATTCATAAGATTTGGTTCTTTTAAAAAAAGAATTCTTAAAAAGGTGGAGTGAGAAGGCAGAGGGGATCAGACAACTCTCAAACTCAACAGTCAGAACTTAAATGGTTGAAATTGACTGTAAGTGTATTAAGAAATCTACCTTTGCCACCAAGTGTCCTGGCCATGATAATTTCCAACCTCTTACACTTCTACAGCCAATTTATTTTATCTTGCTTTTAGAAAATCTAACATGTGCAAATCCAGAATTTTCTTTTTTCTCCCTCAAAAGAAAAATTAGGGATTGTTCACTTTATCAAAGGGATGTCTTAATTTACTATGTCTTAAAATAGTACTCATTCCAAATTGTATGAAGCAAATTTTAAGTAGGGCAAATGGGTTTTTATCACCCTCATTGAGAGGACTGTAGGGTCTTATTATATAAAAATAGGCTTGTCTATATCAGAGGTTGGCAAATATTTTCCTGTAAAGGGCCAGATAGTAAATATTTTGCACTTTTTAGGCCACATGGCCTCTGCCGCAACTATTCAACAAATATTCAACTCTGCATTATAGCATGAAAGTAACCACAGACAACCTATAAATAAATGGGTGTAGTTGTGTTCCAATAAAATTTTATTTGCAAGCACAATAAATGGGCAGAATTTGATTCGTGGTCATAGTTTTTTTTTTTGTCTTTTTGTCTTTTTTCCGTGTCCGGCAACGGATCGCAACCCTCAGTGCCGCCCCCGTACCAGACCGGGGACCGGCAACGGGATCGCAACCCTCGGTGTTGCGCCAGCACCTCGCTCAGCCAGTGAGCGGGAACCGGTCTGTATGTGGGATCCAAACCCTCGGCGGGAGCGCCGCCACACTCCCAAGCGGTGCACTGTAGCAGTGCGCCACCGGGCCGGCCCAACGTGGTCATAGTTTGAGGACTCACCTGTCACTTATTTTACCACTTGATGCCATCTCAAACTAGAGTCCAGTAAGAATACAAACAATAATCTAAATTAAAAATCTCCAAGGCCTTGTAATGTGATTTTGAGTATATTCAGTAGCCAAGAATAATAAAAAGAATACTTCTTATCTAAGTCCTTAAGTCTGTCTTCAGAAAAGTGGGAATGACTAGTCCCATTCCAATGTGAAGATCTCGCTATTGTTTCAGATTTTCACTCTGGTTCATCTGGAAACTGATTACTGCTTTCTACTTAGCCCATAACTAATGGCTTCCCCCCTCTTATCTCTACTAATGGTTTCCCCCCCTCTTATCTCTTTGTCTTCAGTGCCTTTATGATGAATTATAGTTTCTGCAGAGACTGTACTTCAAGAAGTTAAGACTTAGAATTTGAACAGTCTTTCCAATGAAAAAGAAGTTAGCTCAAAGTGAACTCTATTACCATCTCGTATTTGCACCATAGTCCTTTGTTTCTCAACCGACAGTATGTGGGAGTTTGCAAAAAGGTATAAGCCCCCACAAGATAAATACAGCATTTCCTGGAGCATCAATTTACTGTCGTAAGAAATTTTGAACTTTTATTTGTATACACTCAGACCCAATTACACACATATAAATATAATTGGGAGTGGAGTCATTCTTATGCACATTCACTTCTCTCTGCTTCATAGAGAAGATCAAGAAGCATTGCTCTGCATACTTGGTTACAAGAAACGTTTCTCCATTACGCCCCTAAAATGTGATTTCCAGTTGTATATGCTTTGTCTGCATCAAAAAATATAGAAAAAAGTACCTAGCATGATCATCCTGGGAAAAGCATGCTTATACTGTTAAAATGTAACACTTCGACTAATAAATGGGTAGACTACACTAATGAATATTCATTGAATCTATTAAGCTGAATATGAAGAAGTCTCATTTGGAACATTCGGGCATTTGCTCTGGCAAACCAACAGTATACCATTCACAACTGGATAATTAAAATGCTGAAAATAGATAACCTGAATATAGTCAGCAGTAATTTCAGATATTTAAAAAATATACCATTCACAACTGGATAATTAAAATGCTGAGAATAGATATCCTGAATATAGTCAGCAGTAATTTCAGATATTTAAAAAATATACCATTCACAACTGGATAATTAAAATGCTGAGAATAGATATCCTGAATATAGTCAGCAGTAATTTCAGATATTTAAAAAATATACCATTCACAACTGGATAATTAAAATGCTGAGAATAGATATCCTGAATATAGTCAGCAGTAATTTCAGATATTTAAAAAATATACCATTCACAACTGGATAATCAAAATGCTGAGAATACGGGCCGGCCCGTGGCTCACTCGGGAGAGTGCGGTGTTGAGAACACCAAGGACCCGGGTTCGGATCCCATATAGGGATGGCCGGTTTGCTCGCTGGCTGAGCGTGGTGCTGACAACACCAAGTCAAGGGTTAAGATCCCCTTACCGGTCATCTTTTAAAAAAAAAAAAAAAAATGCTGAGAATAGATATCCTGAATATAGTCAGCAGTAACTTCAAATACTTAAAAAATACATACCAGGTGTTGGAGATTTGTCTTTAGATTGAGACTGCAGACAAATTTCTCTATTTGGTTCTTTAGACCGAACTGTCTGGGATAAAGTTGACTTCACAATTGGTTTCGATACCTCTGTTTTCAGAGGACTAACAGGAGTTTTTTTTAGCTCAGGATGTTGTACCTCACAATTTTTAGCATCACTGATAGACGTAGTAGAAGATTTCACTGGGGAAGAAGTAGCTTTCTGAAACATGATAACACTTAAGGTAAACAACAACATTCAAAATATCTACAAGTAGTCCTATAACAAAACAATTCAAATCCTATTTACTTGGTAGCTTATTTATGTAAGACTTACGAAAATAAAAATTCTTGTTCTCTAAAAGATCAAACTAATTTAAAAGGTTTGAAAAACTCAATTTAGAAAATGTTATTTATAATATGTAGGTTAGTCTGCTAATATATTGATGGATAAGTAAGCAGTGGTAGGGTCACTCCTTATTTAAAAATTTTTTCATATTATTGTACTAGTACCTTTACTAAACTTTTAAATGTATTAGATTAAATTACATTTTTATTTGTATTTTAATTAAGTCTATATCAATTTAACAAAACAGTATTTATTTGTATTTTAATTAAGTCTATATCAATTTAACAAAACAGTATTTATTTGTATTTTAATTAAGTCTATATACAATTTTTTTTTTTTTGTCTTTTGTCTTTTTTCCGTGTCCGGCAACGATCGCAACCCTCAGTGTTGCCCCCGTACCGGACCGGGGACCGGCCACGGGACCGCACGCCTCGGTCCTGCTCCCCCGC